ATCGAATTAAGGAGTGACCGCCAGTCGTCCGCACGGGACCAAATTTTCCTGTGATTCGTCAGGTGTAGTTGTTGTAGCAAGGGCGTTTCAGAGGCCTAGGATTCAAATGAATCTACAGCGCAAATGGCGTAGCCTACGACCAGCTCATTTTAGGCGTCGGTCGAGTTTTTTTAACCCCTTTTTTCTGATGGGACTGGGTCAGTTAGAGTCACTGGTGTGGAATCCGGAGGACAGTATCAAATGCGGAAAGGCAGTTACTAGCTAAGGACAGGTTGTATGATACTTCTACTTTTTATAGGCTGGTAACACCAGCTACAGCCATAGTTAGTGACAAATGCATATCCCTCGTTTATCGTTCTCCCCTCAGGGATGGGATGGTTATGTGCACGTGAAATGAATGATAGGGAGGGATATTTGCGCAGTATTTACTCCTCTCTAATGGTATTACTTTGGCAAGACTACGTCCAGATGAGCAGTGACGGATACCCACCGCGACAAGCTTGACATGTAAGCCCCGTCTATGTATGTCACGAGACGGCTTGTTTTTCTCTCTTTTCATACGCAAATCGACAAGCTCGCCTGATCTAATTTGAATTGCTGAGCTAAGCGGGGATCGGAGTGCATTTGTTATGCACTTAAAAGCGTCGTAGAAATACCAATAAAGTGCAAGTGCTGTGCGAACTAAGAAAACAATGATTGTCTTCTAAAATTAGGCATATGTTGCGACTCTCAGCTTCCCCCGAGTACGCCGCACACCCCTGTCTCAGATTAACTGTAGATTTGAAGAGAATTTTCAGAAATGACGAATATGGGAATTATCTGAAGGTCCGTATATAAGTGATCTTTGACGTGAAGGTCAGATAGCGATTTTCTTGTAGGCCCTTTGTAAAAAACTGAACCCTCTCTAAGTGACCATAGCAAAACAATCCGAAATGAGCACTTCCAGGAGCGGGCAACTTCTCTAGTGATCATCTTGCAAATGGCTGGGCATGGTTTAATAAAGAGCAAGCATGTGATGGCGCGTAGGTTATCATTCCGTGATTTCGAATTTGAGCTGCCACTTTTGTTGCTGTCCATTCGCGTGTGGAGTTTTGAAACTGTACATTATTCTGCCTATTTCCTTTCGATATATTGATCGTTTCTACCTCCCTTGTTTGTCTGAACTAAGATTGTGAGGTCATCTCTACCATACGCTAACACCTTCTACTGCCGGTGTTTCATATGCCTTTTTAATCGATATTATCTTACGAAGACATTACAAAGCGGTCAAATAATTTGCTGGTCGAATTATGGATGACTTTGCCCATCCCCTGCACTCTGAACTAACCTCTGCGAGGTCTTCTCGCCCATGCGCCGTGGCTTACGACTTATCTCTTGTTGTACATCGGAATTTAAATATTCTGTATTGCCATTCCTGGCGTGATATCTTACGCGTGAAGAGACAGAAATACAGAAGCTAAGACTCGAACTGTCCCCATAATAGTCGTTCCTATATGCATAAATCTTGTTGACTCTTGAGTAAGTTATTGACTTATTCTCTGTCCACAGTGAATGGAGCTCATTTTCTGCTGAAAATTTTGAACTTATACTTTCAAAGTAAAACGAATTCCTCTCTCATTCCTTGCTCTCTGACCAAAATTTCAGAGACACCTTAATCACTGCTTCGCATTCAAAAGCAGAAGTAAGGATTTCGGTCCGTATTATTTGGTCTTCCGGCAG